AAAATTTTTTTTAGAATCGAAAGCGTTTCATTAGATTCACAAATTTGGACTTTGTACTTCTGCACATGAATTTTACTTTCACACTTTCATTGTATAATTTGTACTTAAAAATTAATTCTATTACGTTATGACACCTCAAAAATGATAATAATAATTATTACAAATGATATGATAACCCTAAATACCTTTCGTACAAAGTTCAACTATGTTTTATGTAACGAAACCAAGTGTCCGGATACTTATGGACGGTAGTGTATATGAGAAACGACTCAACATTCAACCAAGTCACGTTAAACCTACTAAAACCTATTACTGAATAAATTCAATCAGCACCTTATTGTTAATTTTTCAACCTATCTTACACGCAAATGAGTTCACCTTCACATTGGGTGTAACTGTCCTTCCTTCAAAAATAATCGAGCGTAAATGTTTAAGTTTTCCCCTACTTTGAATGATACGTGGCATAATCTCTCTAACCCATCTATTTCATTTTCATTAGCCCCGCTGACCCGTGCTCCGAGTCTCTTCAGTATCGAGGTTTTTTTGTTTGTTGCCGCTTTTGCCGGCTCGCTACCTCTCCCTGGAGTATTGTTGTTTGGCCAGAAACGGCGAAAAATCGACGGAACCACTAATTGGTTCTGTCAATCCTGTTGAGGGCAGTCAGTGGGCGCGGAGGGTGGCTGCGGGTGCAGCTACGCTGAAACGACGAAGCATGGCTCACGTCGAGCGGAAAGATTCGTTACGGGAATACAACGTTCCGGGAGAACAACTTTCATTACAGTTGCCTGCTTTTTCTCCTCGGTTCCTGCTTTTTTTTCTTTTGTTATTGGCACGCATGACCTTTTCAATAAGCGCGCCAACTCTCGCGGCACGCCATTTCGGCGCGCCGCCCAAATTTTCGACATACGACTCTGATTTTACGATGGATTCCTGGAACCCGTGTGCAATTTCTTGAAAACGTAGATATTTCATATACTGAGATTTTTAAATTTTAAATTATATAAATAATATTTTTAATATTTTAAATTATTAAGTTTTGGGATTCTGAAGGTTGGAATTTCTCAGGTAGATAAATTTTTCTGTTTCCACATTCGCAAACCCTTAAATGTTTAAATTTCCAAATTCTCCAATTTTCAACTTAAAAATTTTCAAACTTCCAAGTCCCTGAATTCTGAAATTCCTGAATGTTTCAATTTCCAAGTTTCTAACTTTCTGAACTTCTAAATCCCTAAATTTTCGGTGTAAAAATTAACCTTCCACTCATATATAAATTTTTAAGTTTTCACATTCTCAAATCTTTTAATGTTAAAATTTCCAAATTCTTAAATTTTCATCTTAATAATTTTCAAACTTCCAAGTCCCTGAATTCTCAAATCCCTGAACATTCAAATTTCCAAATTTCTAACTTTCTACACTTCTAAATCCTCAAATTTTCAGCTTAAAAATTAAACTCCCAAGTCCGTAAAATAATTACCCACCGCTGGAGCAGAAATGAATTTATATTATAAGATCAGTTTAATTCCCGATCTCAAATATATTTGAACACGCAAACGTCGTTTACAGAAGGTAATTACCTTGAATCATACGAAACCTTGCCTGCTACTTCGATTAATTCTCCCTCAGTTCGAAATTTTCCTCGATTCCGTAAAATTACACTCACAATTTTATCGAATAATTGCAGCAATTCATTTTCGACGTTTTTTTGTTAATCGATCACGGAAGTGGAGAAACGCGGTACAGGGTTAAAACGCAATTTAAATTTTACTGTATAATATCGAATGATGCCATGTACTATGGTGTGTGTTCTCAAAGTCGGGTTTTAACGCTTCGACGCCCAACAAACTCGTAAAAGCACCAAGTTCCTGCAGAATTTCTCTCAAACGAATTCCTTTCTTCATGCAATATACACTGTACGCCAGTGGTTTTCATACTCTTTTTATTTGTGATAAAGTTTCGGACTTTAGAAAATTCAAATTTACAAATTTTTGAACTTGGAATTTGAGATTAACAGAGAAACTGTCAATCACTAAAAATAGACAAATGGTTTCAGGTTTTTATATTTCAAAATTACTGTTTGGTTTTACTGTTTTTTTTTTTTTGGTCGAAATATCAATTATATTTTGTTGGGACAATTTATTTAAGTTAGTACAGATAAAACTCTTTGTAATATTCTTTTTTTTTAAATTTATATTTAAATGTGTATGTAACACAGGTAGTGCAAAGCTGTTATTTTGATAATTTTTTAATTATTTGTTCATCTAAAGTTTGTGATTAACTAGTTGTAAAGTAGTTCAGTATTAAGCTAATGTTACACAATATTCATGAATTAATAACCATATTATTCATGAAATTATTCATGAATTAATAACCATATTATTCATGAATTAAATTATTCCTCGTTTATTACATCAGTTTAAGAATTGTACATAATCTTAAATATAATCATGAATATAATCGCACAAATGATGCATCAAGAAAATTTTAATTTCAATTTTACATGGCTTGTAAATACTGTTATAAGTTAGGCAACATTGAAACGAAAAATAATTTTGAAATTGCCCAATATTTTATTTAGTATTGCAAGTAATAAAAAAAATATTCAAATCCACATTCGAAAATCGCAAGCTTCACAAAACGACATTTATGTCCGCCATTTTAAAAACAGAAACTCCATATTCAAAAAATATTTCTCCTTTTATTTCCTTTCTTCAGTATTGCCTTATGCTATATTCTGTATTGTACATAAAATAACTGCGTGTTAATAACACATTATACAAACAAAAAGTGAATCATACATGTAAGAAGTGAATATCTAACAACAGTTCGTATGTTGAGGACGCAGTCTGAGGTTATTATACACGTACACAACGAACATATCAACTAACGAACCTATAGAGTCCTCGATCGATAATTCTATCAAGCAAAACAATTATCTACAGACATGTTGAAACAATTGAAACGAGCCACTTGAGTGACTCGAGTTCTTAATCCGCTGGAGAGCGGATATTCTACACACAATTCGAGCACAGGAATTTGATTTCAGTTTGGAGCTGCACAAACTGTCCCTTCGAGGGCAGAAGCGTGATCGGCACAACACGTGGCTACGTTATTTTACACAATGAGGTTATTTTCGAGACACAAGGTTATTTTCTCGCGTTCTCTGCAACGGGAATTGTTGACGAACTCGACACTCGACTTCCTGGCAGTAACGATGACTCGTGGTAGCTCGAACGAAATCGATGACCTTCGATGTTCATCACTGCACCTCGCAGACGAAGAAGGTCTCGAAACTGCAGGGACTGTCGTTCCATTTTAACCCTTTGCCGTCCCTGTTCCATAGTTCGAGACAATGCTCCTCCTCGCCGTTCTCGTATCTGCAACAAACATACTGTATTGTGCTTCTGTTGTGCTTTGTTATGGCGCGAATACCGTGTCGAATAATTATGTTATTCAGTTAGGATTTGTGTTGTCATATACTATGTTTCGAATTGGATTTTGATGAACTTTGGAGACAACACGGAAATGTAGAATAATGGACAATGTAGAAGGGTGTGAAGAAAAGTTTGAAAGAAATTACTGACTTGATCAAAGAGTAGATATAACAAGAGACAACACTAGACTAGGAAACCCACCTCCTAGAGACAGAGGACAATTTCAATACCCAAATCAAGAGAATCGGGGGTGCATGTAGTATAGAAGTATGGCGGTCGAAAAAGAATAGTTCAAACCTGCATATTCACCAGTAATTTATTTCTAATAAATATTTTGTCATATCTCTGTAACACATTCGTCTGTAATTTCTTGTGATATATAGTTTTTCATTTTCTTACAAGTTATTTGTAATAATCATTTCCGTAATACATATTCTTCAAATATATTTTGTAGAGCAATCATTTTGGTATATTCTTTTCTTTTCAACTTTTCAACGCCGTAAAATTGATAAAAATACCTCGAAAGACAATATTAGTAATATACAGAAAATTTCTTACAAATATATTCCAAATAATTGGAGATTGACATGAAAGTTGATTTGCTCGATTTAAATTTCCCGCTTGTTTGTACAATCAATTTGAAGGGGTAGTGTTTTCGAGAGATCAAATGTTATAGCTGTTTAGTATATATGTATAGTATGTATGTATAGTATGTA